TTTGTTGAATAAAATAGTAATTTTTGCTTTTTTAATTTGTAAAATAATTTAAATAAATAAATGATTCGTTTATTTTAATCGCATTTCGATTCTTTTACAGTGTAAATTTAATTCTTTTTATATTTGCATTCAAGAACTTTATGAATTATACTTGTAACTTGAAATATTTAATGTAGAATTAGAAGTTTAATGCTTAATTTTAATGCTAAACTTAATGCTAATTTAATGATAAATTTTATCGCAAAAATTTGTAATCGATGAATGCATAATAACTTTTATAATGTTAATATTTTCTGAATATAAAAAAAAAAACGCTAAATTTTTTAAAATAAATTCCTAAAAATTTCAAAATAAAATGAAACATACTTCTTTAAAATCATATTTTCTATTCATTTTAGTAAGATATTTCATAATAAGCTTTGTAAGAATAATAACTGGAATAAATGATAGTGCTAATAGGGCAGTTGTTAACCAAAGAGCTTGAATTGGTTGACCAATTTTTTGTCGCATTGCTAAACCTGTATTATGCCAAATATCATAGAAAGGACGACAACCATATGAATTCTTTCGTAAATAATTCTGTAAAAATTTTAAAATTTTAAAGCATTTTAAAGTTAACTTTTCTTTCTATCTTCTTTTTTGATCTATTTATTTTTTAAATTTACTTTTATTTTCTCTGTTAAATTAATTTATTTACTTTCCTTCCTTTTTTCATATCTTCATTTATCCTACTATTTCTTTAGTAATCATTTTCTATTCTTCTATTGTTTATTATTTCTTTCCTCTTCCTGTTAATCAAATCAAATTCTTTCCCTTTTTTTTTTTCATCCATTTCTTTTTTCTCATAAAAATTCCTATCACATTTGTCAAATTTTTCATTTCTCCTTTTTCTTTTCTTTTACTCTAAACAGATGCATTAATTGAACTTACCGTACTCTCAGAAATATATTTCCTGATAATAGTAATTGTATTATTGGTTTCCCTTACAATTATTTGAGTACTTTCATTAATCATTTCATTCGAATAAAGGTATTCATCAATTACTTGCTTTGTTGTATTAGTGGTATCACTAAATATTGAATAATTACATTACTGAAGTTAAATAATTAAATTCATTAAAAATTAAACAAAAAATAGGTTTTTTGCTTAGTTTTCTATCATCAATGCGAAATTAATTTATTAACAAATGAACTAATAGATAGATAAGTATACAATTCATTTTCCATTTTTTTTTCGATAATCTACAATATAAGAATTTAATAGATAATTAAATCAACAATTATTGATTCATTAATGATTAAAATAATAGTAGTAAAATAATCCATTCCCTTAATAGATTGCAATTGCTTTCAGTTATTATTTGAAATTTTTACAACTGATCATATCATTTTTTCATTTAGATACATTAATTAATCCTATTATATAATAAAAATGCAGGAATTAAAAAGAAACCACAACAAAATTTAGCTCAGATAATCATTCGATATTGATCATTTAATTTTATTCCAGTAATACTTCAACTTATTAATCTTCTATTTGATATAATTTTAAAGTAGACTAACGTTATAATTTTGATTAAATTTGATATATTATCAAACATATAGTTGAAATTATCATGCAATGATTCATTCAGTACTGCAATATCATCCGAAATAATAAAATTATTCAATTCAGTATTCATCTTTTCCAACCATTCAGAATCTTCCTGAAATGATATTTTAATTGTTTTAATAATAATATTTTCAACCCACAAAGCAATCTATCGCAGGAAATAGATTATCATTTCCAATTATTTTCAATAAATTAAGTTATAAAATTTTTAGCAAATAATTTTGGTCGTATTAAGAACGCTATGCAAATTGCTGTATTTTGGAATTGTATTCCAAATATATTTTAGAACAGTACTGTATTTTAGAACTTAAAAAGAATTAAAATGAGAAACAAAAATGAGCTAACCATAAGTTGATTAAAAAATTGCTCCGGAAAATGCTGCTTTAAATTTATATTTTTGATTACATCAATTGCTCTATTTCGTCTTCCTTCAATATCCATTTTTTTCATAATTCCATCAACATTAATTAACCTTTCGATTTCTAACACCGACAGAATGGTTTCATTGTTTTTGCATTGTTTTATAATATTACTAAAATTGCATTCATTATATCTTTTATATTTCATTAAAAAATGTAAAATTTTTGGATTCCAGAAAAGTTGTTAAATTCAAAAAACAATACTTAAAATTCTTAATTTTTGATATTAGTCTTTGTATGCTATCATAATTTCAAATTTACTATAATTAATTTCATTCAGAAATTTTCCAATCATTATTTTAAAATTTTCAATTAAGCATATTATTATCATTGCAAAAGTTTGATTAATATAATACTTAACGATAAACTCTTTGGTAAATTTTATAAATATTTAATATCTTTTTTTTTGTTTTGAATTGTGTTGGGAATAATTTAATTACCCGATATTTGTCGTAAAATTTTTCCTATCGATAGGAATTTGTATGTTAAACTGAAATAGTGGTACTGTACTGAAAAGGCGCATTTTGGAATCGTGAAATAACGGATTACAAAGCGCTTCTATACTGTAGCCACTAGCAAAACTTAAACTGAAAAATTAAATATTCGATAAAATTTTCGAAAAAATATTCTTTAAAGAATTCGTTTTTCCTTTTTTTTTTTTCATAACAAAATAGAAACAATATCTAAAATGTCTTCATAGTGTTAAAAGTTATAAGATATCATAGTGATAATTTTTACAAGTTGAATTAATGATTAACAAAGAATTAAAATCAATAAAAATTAAGACTAATCGACAGATTAAAAAAGTTTTAATTACTATCGTTTGTATGTTTCGTCAAGAATTATTTTGATCATACAAGAGGACATTTTATACTACTAATTAATGAATGAATAATCAAGTGATAAAGGTTATAAAGAATTGCAAGATAGGTTCATAAAGATTTATAAAAAAGGATTTTATAAATGAAAGTTTTAAAATTTTGCAGAAAAAAAAGGGAAGAAAGTACCTAGCAATAAGCATTATAATCCATCCGATAAAGAATGCTCCGGCAAGAGCAATTAGACCGGAGTAAAAACCGCATTTGAAGAGAATCTTTGAACATTTTGGTGAAGATTTACTGCTGTAATTTTGAAAAATTAAAATTAGGAAATCAAGGATAAAAAAATTTTTTTTAACAGATATAAATATGAATCAATGTTTAAATAAGTCCAGAAGTTTTGCAAAAAAAAAAAAGTGACATTCTTGACCACTTCTTTGATATCTGTCAACATCTTATCACTTCTCATTTTCTGTCACTTCTATTTTCTTCTATTCTAAACAAAAAAAAAAAAAATTGTTTCATTCATTGAGGATATTATATCTTAGAAATACCTTTAGAATTAACTGAAAAAAAACTTTATAACTACCGAAAAAATTCCTTCAATTTAAATAAATCAATAAATTCATATTTAAACATTTTAGATAAAACTTTGAAGTTATCATTACCAATCGATGATATGATTAATTTTTGCGCTATTTTATGATTATTTCAAAATTATGTTATCTTTTACATTTGTTAAATTTTAATGATACTTCCTTAACATTTAATATTTTAATATTAAAAATTAAAATAATTTAATTGAATATGAAATGAAAAACTTACTTTGTACATAATTTTGTCATTCCACAGAATACAACGATAATGGTAGGAATAATAACGCTTAAAGCAGGTATCATTATTAGAAGATAGATGATATTTATCAATTCATCATATTTTTGAGACTGAAATGATGAGAAACCAACTCATCATAGAGATATACTGATTATTTCGCATCATAAAATACTTCAGTTCAGTATTTGTATTGCTAAATGAAATAGATATAATTAAAATAAAAAGAAAAAAGGAAAGCGATACTTTCAAAAATGTTGAATTTTGTTAAAAATATTTAAATAAACCTATTGAAATTACAAAATATTTTAAAA